CTGCTACTAGTGGTACTGGTACCGGTACTACTACTGCTACTGCTGCTGCTGCTGCTGCTGCTGCTCCTACTACTACTACTACTACTACTACTACTCCTTAGGATACCCATATACTACTACTAAATCCAAATTTAAAGCTTAATACTAATCCTAACGAATACAGTTCACTATAATACAGTTATATACCTTGGCATGATTGGAATTGCTTGACATGGCTTGAATGCAAAACAAAACAAAAACCCCAACACCCTTCACCCTTTATATCAAAACATGCCATGGCACGACACAACAGCTGCTGCGATGCACTTGCAAAGAAGGTGCAGGCAGGCTTGCTTGCATGCTCCAATATTTTCAAGCAAGCTCCTCCTCGAAAGCCGTCTTGCAGTTGATCAGGCTGTTCTGCAAAATGGTGGGGCTTCAGCTAGCATAGTGCAAAAGTTACTGCACTCGGGGGAACTTCTTGACGTAGTCCTGACAGCGCATGAATGTTTAGAAGGTTTCAGTCCACAGGTTTAGAGTGCAAGGCAGATGCCCTGTCCTCGTCCATCCAGCCGCTGTAAAAAGCAGGGTTCTCAAGAGATCGCCATCGAGGCGATCGAGATCGAGATCGCGACCGAGGCTATCGAGATCGGGCGATCGAGATCGTCGTCGTAGTAGTAGTAGTAGTAGTAGTTGTTGTTGTTGTAGCCAACGTCGTCGTCGTAGTAGTCGTCGTCGTAGTAGTAGTAGTAGTAGTAGTTAGTAGTAACTAGTAACTAGTAACTAGCCACTAGTCACTAGTAAGTAGTAACTAGTAATTAGTAATTAGTAACTAGTAACTAGTAACTAGTAACAACTAGTAACAACTAGTAACTAGTAACTAGTAACTAGTAAGTAGTAAGTAGTAAGTAGTAAGTAGTAAGTAGTAAGTATGTAGTAAGTAAGTAGTAAGTAGTAAGTAAGTAGTAAGTAAGTAGTAGGTATGTAGTAGGTATGTAGTAAGTATGTTGGAAGTAAGTAGTAAGTATGTAGTAAGTATGTAGTAAGTATGTAGTAAGTATGTAGTAAGTAGTAAGTAAGTAGTAAGTAAGTAGTTAGTAAGTAGTTAGTAAGTAGTTAGTAAGTAGTTAGTAAGTAGTTAGTAAGTAGTAAGTATAAGTAGTAGTAACTTAGTAGTAGTAGTAGTAGTAGTGGTAGTAGTAGCAGCAGGAGTAGTAGTAGTAGTAGTAGTATTCATTCCGCACGCAGTGGGATGTCCTCCACCTAGCGAGAGGCACGAGCTTATGCCGGCGTCCTCAGGGAACACTACACCGTGCTCGAGAGCAGCAGTGCATGCTAACACTAAGCATGATTAAAGTGTAATTAGTCACCAATCATCAAGCAATCAGTACCGCACTGATCATCAGGAGTCACTCTCCTGATATTCGCATTTGCGCAATGCTACAAGCAGAACATTTGCAGCATGAGGGTATGGCGATGCAAAGTAAGGTGTGTGCATTGCCCCGTTTTGGGCGATGCAGCGTCTGGAAAGCTGCTGCATTGGTCCCATCAGCACGGGCCACAATGGACCTGACTTGGTACTCAACTTGAAACAACTCCCCTGTGTTTGTGGCAGCCACGGGAAGATGTATAATGGCCTCGAGATCAGAAAAGACTCGTCGCCCAGCATCATGTCCCCTGCGATTGTGCATCATGACAAGGAAAACGGTTTCGGCCGACCTGATGAGACACGGCCTGCTAGGCAAGTCACCCCAGGCATCCACACACGAGTGATCTGAAGGCACATACAAGTATCTGGAATGAGTGCACAGGCTCCAACCTCCTGTAAAGCGTTGGGATGAGTACCCCATTCACCTGAATGTGCAACGGAGTGGTGGGATCTCAACAAGTCTTTCAAGATTTTAGCAGGTGTTGGAGGTGGCCTCATGGCATGCCAACGGCGAGTGAGTGACACCCACTGCAGCATTTTATCCAAGCGGATCTCAGCACAGGGATTGCGGTCGCTGAGCTCCCAGATTTGACGATAAAGACCATGCGTCATATGACTCCGCTGAGTGTCACACCAAAACGGCATAGTAAGCACTGCATGACGGCCTGAAGACCTACTGGCACATCCATCAGGTTGAGTGTTAAGCTGGCATGCTCCAATGACACTGTTGTCGGTTCAGTCTGATGTGTTGGGGACATGGGCAAGTGAACATGTTCGGAGTGGCCTGTGTCTACCATCGAAGCGCCTGCGCCTGGTATGAGAGCCCTCCTCGCTCTCTGCGGAGGCGACAGCCCATGGTATGAAGCGCAGCTGATCCGATCCATCCCTGCAGAAGGGTCCACACTTGTTCTCCGCGATCCCTGAGGGAAACATCGATCGCCAGCTGGACCCAGGAGGTCTGATGGTCCTTGCAAAGTCCGTAGATCGACTGGAATCTGTAGAGGTTTTCCGCATTTATGGTCTTGCGTAGCTCGGTGGCCTCCGCAATCAGCTTCGCCGTGGTCAGCCATCCCATGGCCTTGGCCGCTTGCATTGTCTCCTCGCCCTTCTCCGCAATGGTCAACCTGTTGCAGAGTTCGATGAGGAAGGCTTTCATCAACACAATCCTGAGGGAGGTGGTGGTGGTAGTAGTAGTAGTAGTAGAAGTAGGTAGCAGCAGTAGTAGTAGTAGTAGTAGTAGCAGTAGTAGTAGTAGTAGTAGTGGTCGTTGTAAGAAAAAGAGGAGGGAGGGGACAGGAGAGGGCTAGGGGAGGAAGGGAGGGAGGAGAGAAGGGGGGAAGGGGGAGGGATTCGACCTGAGTGTGTCAACGGCGCGCTGTGCTGGGACTCTATCGAATCCTTGAACACCAGGTGTAGCCGTGGACCTCAAGAACTCAGTAAACCTTGCCATCTACCGAACTCCCTGGACTTGCGCTCCAGCTGGCCCCGATTGGGCTGAAAAGAACTCTTGTACATGAACCGCGCTCGCCGGAGTTTGAGGTGAAGAACAACCACGTGGGGCCATCATCTCATCTAGGTTGGTCTGTGTGATAACCTCGCGCCCACGTGCGATCCCGACCTTGGGGAGGCTCGGCTGTTTGCGGTGTCATCGTTGCAGCTGCCACTCCAGTTCTATCCGCCGATAGCATCACGCCCCCGATGTTCGGGTTCTCCAATACAGAGGTCCCTGCTCACGTACCGCACCATTCGGCAACCCAGGTCCTTCGTTTTACAGTTCCATATGTAGTTCCACCTCCTTGCGCGGGGTCGCCCTGCTATTGGGCGTACATAACCTATAAAGTTCGGAACAATCTTCAGGAGCGGCTCAAAGGGCTTATGCAGTCGATGCACCTTCCATTGCGTGCTCACAGCTTGAGCATTTTTCCACTCAAACACCTGTCAAAGCTTCGGATTTCAGCTTGCGCTTGTAGCCTTTTTGTGTACATCATTACAAGGCTGTCCTAGACATGGTGTTGACACTTGAGCTCGAACAAAATTAAAGGCGCCCGCATTCCGCAAATTGCTTCATGATGCAGTCAGTTCACTGACACTCAAAGGGAGGATTGGAAGTTCATCATATACATATATATGTATATAAAAGGCGTGGCCGGAACCTTGTCAAGGACGAATAGCCCTCGGCCAAGTGTCTGTTCGATAACCTGTGGAGGTAGACCCCTCCATAATCTTCAGGACCGCGTGCCTTGGATCCGAAAACAATATTCTGCCTGTCGCCACGATGCCACACAGGCACTCCAAATGAGTGCCATGATATCCCACCTTTGTGTGACCGGCTTGGAGAGAGTACCCTGACTCGAATGGAAACTTGAACCAGCCACCGCCTTCAACGCAGCCGCCAGTACCCAGGTATTTGTACAGCCAGGCAACCTAGATCCGCCGATCTACTTGACACCGCAGCAAGCTGCTGTGATTCGCTCAGCTTTTCGATAGACCTGCATCGCATGTAAGTCTACCTGGCTTCTGGCTGCCCCTTGGGTGCTCTTCCTGCCTGTAGGGTCTGCTCTAGGCTAACTTTTCAAGCTGACACATGATAGCTAGGGACCAGGCGTACTGATACCTGCAGGCCATGTCCAGGTGTCAACAGGCATGTTGCATGATACAGTGAATTTGTTTTTCTGCATGTTGCATGCTTTTTTGCATTCTGTTTCAGTTGGTTTTGCATGTCGACCTTTTGAGTCACCGAAGAGTGTACTTTGCATGTCACGCACACAACTGCATGACTGCACCAGGATGCACTACGTGCATACGTTGAACTGTTGAATTCGGCTGAATTGGTTCGAGTTGTTTGAATTGATGGAATTGTTTTGCTCCGTGCCTGAACAAGTTTCTGCTGGACGAGCTTGCAATGACCCGCAAAATGAAGGGAGTATCGTGAGCCGCAGTTTTGCGCCTGCAAAGATGCCCCCTGAGAAGTATCCTTTCGCATAAAGTCCAAGTGTATTGCAGACTCGGGCTCAGGAATGTCCATGGCTACCTCATTTTTCATGCTGCCATTACAGTGACTTGGGTCTAAGTTCCAAACAAGGGTCTGCTATGTCCAGTCTGTCTGCGCTGTCGGAACTTCCTGAGGACGCTGAGGCATGTATCAATGTATCAGAGGTGGTGAGACGAGCCGAAGCCACCACACAAACGCCCAAAAAACCTCACACCTTTACTTGCCCAAGACATCCCTATTTAGGCCTGTTTGCACAATCCTGACACATGCCCTGAAGTTAGGTACTGAGCCTGCCTTTGTGCCCATCGAACTACGTGCCCAAGAGTTACTCGCAGCCCCAAGCATACACCACTCGGACATCTTTGAGCTCTGGTCCCTTTTTCCCGTTAGCAAACGCCTGAAGCCCACACAACAAACTGCATCCCACCAATCCTACATCGTCCTTGGCCCCAGGCCCCCCCGCCTACCCGAAGCCCTCACACAACCTACCTGCTCACTACACCATACAACGCGGGCCCTCACTAAGTTTGTGTCAATTCTTTCCAAGGTTCCTGTATACAACCATAAGCATTGCGACGAATATCAACCAAGGCCCACATCGTGATGTGAACAACGCCGATGGGTTAACGTTGTTTACATGCCTCACCCAACAATACGATGGGGATCTTTGGATACAGAATAAGTCCGGGAAAACTGCAATGCGACATCAGCATCAAGCTCTCCTAGGCTCAGTCTTTAACATTAAACACAAGCCAATGCTGTTTGCTGCTCGTGGTAAGCTACACTGCTGCACCTCCTGGAAGCACGGCCCTCGAGTAGTTTTCACAGCCTTCACTTCGATTAACTGCAGGAGCTGCGAACCCGATGTCAGGACGACCCTGGGGTCCCACCTTCACATCCCGATCCTTACCGATCATGACCTCGACGTGTGGAAAACCCAGGCTGCTGAGATGTTTCGTGAACGAGAGAGGCAAGAGAGCGAGACACCCCGACTCAGACAGAAGAAGCTTGAAGAAGTCATGAAGCGATGAGACACACAAGGCCCTCCGAAAAAGCTCCAAAACCCAAAGAAAAAAGGTAGGTTCGTTCTGTCTTGTTTATCTGTCCCGCTTCCTTCTCCTTCAGGGTGCTCAGGCGCTAGGCTAGGGCCCCCATATACGTAGGGATTCGACAGGTTTCTAGCAACATGTTGCAAGATGCGCGTGACGACCGTGATAGAGTCAAGCTTATTCTTGTGACAACAGCAGCTGATATCCTGGAACATTACGGTCTCTCTGAGCCTGCGCCTGAAGTCCTTGATCACGTGAGGAAGTTGAAAAAAGGACTCAATGTAGGGCGCATCCGGGCTGATTCCATTGTGAAAGCGGCCTGCACCGAAGTTAGCAGCTTGCCCGAAAAGCGCAAAGCAGATTGCCTGTCACAGTCAAATTTGGACAGCTTCATTTGCAAGAAAGGGAAGAGTAGCAGCCCCAGGCTTCATGAGGCGACCTTCACTAGTGATGCCAGCTCTGTAGGGGTGAGGAGCCCCAGTGCTTTGCAACACGACGATGAGAGTGACGACGGCCATGACGAGGTTTGCGAGCATTACAAGTCTAATGCCGAGTACCTCTTCTGCAAAACGCGTGAATGTTTGCAAGCTGGAGACATCCAGAAAGCCCTAGCGCTGCTGGATAGCCTTTCCTCCTTTGTCGGGTATGTTGGGGATGACTTTATGGTCTGCCTTCTTGATCTTATCAGCTGGGGTTCAAAAGTCAACAGCAGTGGCCTGGGCCAACCTCAGGCGTTTGATCCTTCGCAAGCCCTCGAGCAAGAGGTGGTTGAACGACGGTTGAACGACGCGCTATCTCTGCCAACACGTGTGTCAATGATCCGTCTAGGTGGAAGCGACTGCTTAAGCCAACTGCTGATGGAAGAACCCCAACCTTGCAAGAAATCCTAGGTCTGGCCGCTAGGTTTCCCGCCGACAGGCCTTTGTACTCCCATGTGTCGGAGGTAAAGAGGTTGCTCGCTCAAGATGGTTGCACAACAATTGGCGTGTTGATCAAGCCCCACGGGCTCAGCGGATCAGTTGCCATATACTTGAAGAGTGCCAAGGTCATTTTGCAAGGCAAGACGACTGAAGCAAAAGCTGCTATGGAGTCCCTCGTTAGTGCATGGACGGAGCCTTGGCCGGTTGGTGGACCAGCTGCAAAGCGCATCGGGGCCGCATGGGCGAACATCCCAACACCCCAAGCTGCGCGTCACTTGGTGTGTCATGCGTAGGTTGTCTTATCGTGAACAGCCGGCTGCGCTCCTGAAGCACGCATCTGGCATTAATTATTTGTCATGCAATTTGCTGTGTTTTCCACACAGACGCAACCCGGCTGACTAACATGAGCCTTCGACAAAGAATCAAGTCCGATCTGTGATGATTGTTGTGTCCGTTGTTGCTGCTGCTGCTGCTGCTGCTGCTGGCGCTGCTGCTGCTGTTGCTGCTGTTGTTGCTGCTGTTGTTGCTGCTGTTGTTGTTGCTGGTGTTGGTTTGTTGCCTGGTTGTTCCTGCTGTTGTGGTTCGTCGTGGTGGTGGTGGTGGTGGGGGTGGGGGTGGTGGTGGTGGTGGTGGTGGTGGTGGGGTGGCGGTGGTGGGGTGGCGGTGGTGTGGTTGTGGTGTGGTGGTGGCGCGGTGGTGGTGGTGGTGGTGGTGGGGGTGGGGGTGGGGGTGGGGTGGGGGTGGGGGTGGCGGTGGCGGTGGCGGTGGCGGTGGCGGTG